TATTAATTCTCCATTTCCTGTTTTGTTGCTTAGTTAAGAAATAAAGCATAATTTAAAATGCAAATAATTGTTTAATATCTTTTATTATTTTCATATTCTTTCTTCATAGATATAAGATCACATTTCACCATCAATCAATTGAATATACAATTAAGTAATTATATATCACCTGTACAAGTTCCCTTTTTGCATTTATTTTTTCTTTAATACCTGAAATTCATATTTTTGCAAAACGGGAACAAAACGTACAAGTATAAATTGATATTCCTTAAATCGCAGGCACATTAGGTAACATGTTTCTTGCAATAAGAGAATATCCCATACATAATTATACATAAAATGTCTTGAACCTTTCTAGGTCGGGCACATCAACTTGTATTTTTTTTCTGAAATCTCTCGTCAAACTTGGTCTACTTCTTCAACAATCCGTAATTGTTGTTTGATGTGCAATTCTGTTTGCAAAATCTATATATTGTTAGATAAGGGGTATATTTATTCATTACAAGAAAAATAAGTAACGTTAGGTGCCAGTATTTTCACCCTTTTTATTAAAGAGTAGGTGTGTTCCTCGAATGCCAATTTGCAATTACAAACAGTACTTAAAGAGAAATAAAGAGACCCAAAAAGGAGTACAAATATAAATAACCTGTTTAACCTGTTACATCTGGGTTAAATAAATTAAATAATATTCATGTTAAAGTATCATACAACTTCGCACGAACATTAACATCTTTTTGGTTGATAGTCTTCATACTATATTTGATGGTATATTAATATAATTCACACTTTCCTGACATTCCCGAATGATATTTAATTTTTTTTTTATCAATCATTATTTTCTTTAAATCTACATAAACATATTTATTTTAATTTATTTATCTGTTTTTCAAGGATATCCGGTCCTCAGCCAGGATGGATAACTCCAAAAATTCATTTAATTTAAAAAGTATCAAAATGAGGCTTGAACATGAAAACATTTCATTCAAAAAATTTCATTCAATTCATCTTTATATGATTCAAGATTTATGGAAGTCTTTGAAAAGGTCTTATAAAAAGTTGAAATTTGTACAATATAAAAGGAAAAAAATAAATACAGTTTTAGAGAAATAATATTTTCTTGAATCAAGCCTTAGATACCGATGTTTATTAACATGATATGAAATAAGAAGTGATTTGTGATGTCTTGCAATGATAACAAAAAGCCTCTTACACTATGTATAAAATAATGAATGAATAAAATAGAAGACATAGAATACCAAATACCAAGAACAAAAATCATGACAATTTCTCTGAATGCCTGGATGCCTAATATTTTTAACCCAGAATATATTTCTTGATCAATTTGCAATTAGAAAATATATAGCTAATACTCCTAACGCTATTCGCTTTTTCTGAATATATATTGAAAATTTGACAATTTTTTTTATATAGTATCATTAACTTTTATGTTGATCTTTCAAGAAATAGTTACTGGTCATGGTAGCTCAGTTGGTAAAGCGCTCGCTCCGTGATCGGGAGGTCGTGAGTTCGTATCTCGGCCGCGAATGATCTAGTCAATAAAATGGATAGCAACTGTTCCTTCGCCATGCGCTCGGCACTTTGAAGTGAAAGTTGCAGGTATTTCGGACGATACCTTAAAAACCGAGGTCATGTGTCAGCGGCAGGCGTTCGCACGATTAAGATTCATCATCATTGCTCAATGGCCCTGAGTGCCGAGTAAAGGTCAAAATTTGAAGCCCTTCACCTACCGTGACGTTTTCATATAAGTGAAAAATTCTCGAGAGGGACGTTAAACAATATACAATCAATCAATCAAGAAATAATATGGGTAAATTTACATTATTTTTTTTATTCAGAGATATTTTTTATGAGTATTTTCAATTACTTAACAGCTAATTTTATGAACCTGAAGATTGGACTACCTTAAAAAAAACCTTCTTTATCTGGACAAAACAAACCTGTTTTCTGCACTCATATATTTTGCATAACTAGAACTTATTTGAATATTGATTTGTATTTCTTTGTTTAGCTTGGTTAACATGTATCACAATAGCTCATTAAGCATCAGTTGTCATTGTGGCATTTTTTCTAAATTGGTAAACTAAAGAGATTGCAATTTTTTTTTAATTTTAAATTTTAAATAGGTGTATCCATTATATGTAAAACATTGTATAGAATGGTATTCTTTTCAGTATTTACAGGATTTCAAAAACGCATCATCGACCCATTACCGACCAGGGTGAGGTGCGAAATTCTCGCATATTTTTCATATCAATCAATGAAGCCATAATAAATACGGCTAACTTGAACTCTGAGAAAAGCAAACTATTAACAACTGATTGACATTACATGTAATATGAACCCATTTCTAATTTAAAATCGTAAAAAAATAAAGGAGATTATTCATAAATCTATCAAATCTATGAAAAAAAAAATGTTGATGAAAAAAAATCAAAGAATGGCAGGAGCTGAACAAGAATGCAATATAAATAACAATGTATTTACAATTTAAATCACAAAGTAATTAGAAAGTCAAGCAGGTATTTCGAAAATTATGATTAAAAAGAATCATTTTGAATTTAATGAAGTGATTGAAAAATACATAATATAAGATTTTTGAAAAAATGAATTAATAATGAAGAGAATGGTTCATTATCTACATCCCATCTTGTGAAAAAATTCTCAAAACCGTCACGAAATATTTAGGATACACGAACATGTAAAAATAATGCAGATATTTGCCCCCAAAAATGTGTTTCTGAAACACTATGCGCCGGCGGATACAATGTTATAAAAACATTTTAAGCATAAAGATCACGCGGTCATTGATCTTGGTGTCATTTAAAGAACTTGGTTCGTGCAGAATGCATACCAAACATGAAGTCTCTACCTCTCATGGTTCAAAAGTTACGGTGGAGGTTCCAACAAGCTATTTTTAGCACATAGGACACAGTAAAGGTCACAAGGTCATTGACTATAGTGTCATATGAAAGAGCTTCATCAGTGGTGTATGCATAAAAAATATGAAGTTTGTATCTTTTATGGTAGGTTACAGTTTGCAGAAAAACTATTTTTAGCATATAGGTCACAGTCAGGGTCACTAGGTGACCTTGGTGTCATTTGAAACAGCTGAATTAGTGGAGTACGTATACCAAATATGAAGTCTTTTTCATTCATGGTTCAAAATTTATGGCGAAGGTTAAAGTTTGCAAACAAACAGACAAACAGATAAACAGACAAACAGACAGACATACAGGACAAAAACATTATACATCTCGGATCTTTCGATCCGGGCACATAAAAAAATCTGAAGTAGAATAAAGCTATGGACACTGAAAAAAGATAAATGGGTGGAATTTCATCAACCGATTTATTTGCTTGTTCTTGATCGTCCTTTTCGAGAATTTTTCACTCATATTGAGACGCCACTACTAGTCAGGAGAGCTCCATATTTTGATTTATTTTCAGCAGTCAGTGCCATTGCGCAGTGGGGGATCTTTTTTTTGTCAGCTCTTACTTCAAGTGGATCCTGGGTTTATATGGTCTCATGCAGCAATTAAGTCCCTCAGTGGTATGCGAACCCGCTACATAAGGATCAAGATATCTTACTTCGCAACTCTAGAACAGAAGTGATAATCACTGAGTCACTAGAGCGAATTCATCAACTGTATGAATCAGTTATCGATTTACCAATATTAAATATTTTACTTGTGACATACAGCCTATGCAATTATTTTATATCATTATTTTAATAAATTCAATATAATTAAATTCTATATGTATTTTGGATTTCCCTTTGTATAAGCAACACTTTGCATAATATAAAAAAAATTGTCTAGACGAGATGTTTTCTAATGTAGATTCTTATAATCAAAAACAAAACATAAATTATTTTGATATAGAAAATAAATTATCGTGATTTTCTACGACTCAGTACATCAAAATTTACGATTTTTCTACACTTTTAGGACACCCCTCAAAATAAAAAAAAAACATCGAGGATTTTGGACATGAAATTAAAATACAACTGCTTCAATAAAAATATAAGTTTAAACATTAGTACAACTTGTGATTTCTCATCATTAAAATTAATAAACTTTGTGAAACCTTCTTCTGGTTCTTCATACACATATCCCCTTGATTATATGACATGGAAATATGATAGATTTCTTCATTTATGGCATTTTCAGTTTTCAAAGAACAGGTCTTCAAGCAAAATGTTTGACTTTCAATAGACCCTTATTTTACTCCATTAATAGTCAACTTGTCATCTGCTTTCACTTATAGCGGGCGATATTAATTTATGTCTGCCTTTCCGTCCTTTTTTGTCTGTTTTAGTTTCTGTTTGTCTCTAACACTTTTTTTCCAGGCAATAATTCAACAAAGATTTGTACTTTCATATGAAAATGTACTTAACAACTCCCTACGGCCTAACCAAAACAATAAGTAATAGATTTTGAGGTGGAAAAGTCTATGGTCACGAATTTAAACATTGTATGAAATTAAAAATCTTTTTTTTTTCGAGAGAAGTGTTTGATATTTTCAATAATATTTTATAGCATATTCAACTCCAAATTTCATGGAGTACACCCTTCTCCAGAATTGCACTCATTTATACTTTCAGAGGAAACGTAAAAAAATATCAAAGGAGACGAAAGATGTGTTAACTGTTACCTTCTTACCTTGCAAATATATTCTATGAAATAATGACTTTATAGTTTCCAGGTCATTTGCTGTTAATAAATGCATGTCTTAAACATGAAATGAGTTTAATGTTTTGTGGATTTTCTTTTTTAGCTTCAAAATTTAATTTTTGTAATATTTATACGACTCTGAAAATTCCAAACAACATTCCAATGAATGTTTGAAAAAAAAACAATTGCAAGAGATAAGACTAAAGTAAAGAGCTTCAATATATACCCTGAAAGAAAAAAAATATATAATGATAAAATAAAACAAAGAATAAATTATGTAATAATCATTTTATCAATGTATTTTAGTAATCACCCCTTCAAAAAAGAAATGGAAAGATTCACTTAATGAATGTAAATCATCGTATGGATTATATACAATTGGGCATAGAAATTCGTCGAATCTAAATTTAAGATGTCAGACAGCAGAATCTGAGACACTGTGGATTGGAGTTGTACGGGAAAAATACGTTTCAAAGGATACTGGTAAATTGAAAAAAATTACTTTTAAGGACAGATGGTACAAACAACCTTTTGACAAAAAATACACTTACAACTTGAATAATGTTTTAATGAGTAAAATTAACGTAGTTTTTCATTTTTTTTATTTAAATTTTCACAAAAATGGGATTTACAGTTTTAAAAAATGTATAGATTAATAAAGATGATTTCGGATAGGAAGAAATTTGAACATCATAGATGATTTACAACTTCTTTATATATTAAGAAATTTATTATTTGCATCATTTTCAATGAAATAAGACCAAAAATATTTACCAATCCAGTCATCCCTTTCTTGTTTGTGCCATCTGTCCTTAGATTTATATATATACTTAAATAGTTGCAGTCATACCTACAAATATCTTTATATAATAACAAGGTGCATGTACTTTGAATAATTTTGTTTTATAAGGACATAAAATCCATGACAAGAAATTGTACTTCCGATGTCAAAAGTGCAAGAAAGATGATTGTGCATACGAAAAATGTTCCAAAGTTATAAAAAGCGATATCATTTGCTCCTCTGTGAAAACTTCCGAACAGGTAAGGTAAAGTTTAATTTCATTTTAATATTTTAGAAGATACCTGAGTACATGTAATATATCCGTCTTTTTTCTTATCACTTTAGATGTATAACAATTTTTGACTAGAGAAAAAAAAAATAGAAAGGTCAAGTAAATCCCGGTATATATTGTGGCCTATTCTGTTTCTTTCAGATTGAAATCAATAAAGATTTGTCTGAGTAGCTTTTGTCAAGAATAGAATTTTCAATTTGGTCGTTTCTGGATTTTCAAGATTTGATACAAATTTACTTCGTCTTTGAAAATGGGACTTGCATTAAAGGACGTTTACTTGATTTTTTGATATATTGATGTTTTCCACTTACTATTAAAATCATTTATATAATCATCGTCATTTGAGAGTTTTCCACAAAATTATTATTGGACATATATATTGCATTTTTTTGTATTTAAGAAGAACTTTTATTTTTGTAGATATTACTTATTTTCAGTCCGATATTTACTATACAGATATTTGTTAACTTTATTTAAAACACAAAACTTTTTATTCTATAGGAATCCTCATCGCCACATTATATTGAAGTCTCTACAACTGAAACTATAACGGGTAATTATATAAGTATTTATTCTTCCGTCAGATTACGCACCCTGTAAGGTGTCGGACATTCCTTAATGTTTTAATATTTATGTTTAAGATGCTGGGTGAATTTTAGAAATCACAGGTATTCGTGGTCCTGGAAAAAATCCTTTGAATGAAATGAAGGTTATCAGATTGTGCAGATTAATTTATATATTTAACGTTAAGTAAGGGCACATGTTTCTGTTAAATAAGCACGAAAAATATTAATGTAGTCATTGATTCTTTCTCCAAAATGTAAAAACTGTAACAAAAAAAAATCAGTCAAAACACAGGAAAAACTGAAAAAAAAATAAATTCCATGTATCTTTCTTTCATTGAACAGTCTGCTAGACATTGAAGAAAAATATTTGGATGTGAAAAATTTTATTAAAAATCCATGTATAATCATTTTTATTATATTTTATTATTAATGTTTAGTTTCTTTGCTTTTGTAAGTAAATATGCAACTTTTATATATAATATAAACCCAATTCTATTCAATCACATGCAAAAGTCCGTTATTTTTTTTCAACAATTATAATTTAAAAATGTTTCCAACTTCATACGTTGTGTATTTTGTTAAAAAACAAAAGATGACTGCACTAAACGTTGCATGTGTGGGTCTTTTTCGGGCTCTTTTGTTGCTTTTAATCTTAACCTAATTTCATTTTAATATTTTTCCTAAAGAAGTAAATAAAATTGACAGTCAATTTAAATGTTAGAAATAATGTTTGACTGTAAAATAAAAATTAATTTCGTTTTTTTTTTTTTGTGTGTCCCTTACGGTTTTCCAAATACAAAGAATTTACACATATTAATTATTTCATATGCAAAAAAAGTCTAGAATGAGATTTCACAAAAACATCCACACATAGTATAAGACTGAGATAAAGTCCGTCCAAAAATATAATTTCCAACCCTCATATAAAAAATAAGTTTAAATCATTAAATAAATAATAATTTATCATTTAACAAGTATTTAAAATACGTGTTTCAACCTTTTTATACAATGTATTGTTACTATACACGATCTGTTGTGGGATCCCAAATTCCGATGTACTAGTATATCCATAAAAATTTTAATATATCAGTTGCGTGATTACTGAATATCCTACAGCTTCAACGGACAATATTATCACCTCATAAACATATATCAAGGTTAATAATCAACACAGCCACTCAAAATTTAAAGTCTGAAGTTAAATTAAATTGTCCGGGTATTCTTTTTAAATAGGTCAAATGTCAAGGTCATGTGAATTGTAAACTGTTATTATTTTATATTGCTTTATGACAATCGGTGCACATACTAAATAGCATAGAATTGCCTCCTTGTATGTCAAATAAATGCTCTATATTTTCACTTTTAACATTTCAAAGGACATGGTCAAGGGTCACAATATCAGTAACCATGACATATCACTAATGCCAAGCAATAAATGTGCAAAATATGAAGTCCATATTTCTTACAGTTCCTGAGAAAAAGATGTGATGGACTGACAAACGGACACCTAGACGGACGGACAGACAAACACCGGGAAGAGTAATTCCTTAGTACCACCCTGCTCGGCAGGCGACACAAAAATATAAGATCACTTCTTAATATCTTTCAGAGATTAAGAAATTGTAATAACCCCCGCCTAAAAAAAAGATTCGTACTTTGTAAATACATACTTTTATTTGTTGTAATTACGTACATATAAAGTTGTGAATACGATGTTGATCACTTCTGCAATTAAAACGATTAAAATAAATGTGTATTTTTTGAAAATTTATATTTATACATATTTCGCATGCCATTAAATGCAGTCATCCTATGCATTCAAATGTTAATGTATTGAAAATTTAATTTGATATTTTTCTGACTGGAACAAGCAATCATTTAATCATTTGATCATTTTAATTTAGAATGATACAAAGGAACTTTTTTTTTTTAGGATAAACCCTCAATTTTTACTAACTAGACTAGTGTGAGTGTGTGTGGAAGGGTGTGTTTGTATTTTTATTTAAAGATTTATTTCTAAAAAAATTGATTATTTTTTTTTAGATGGAAACTACTTTACAATCTTTATAATCTTCCCTATTGTTTTCGGAATTATTGTAGCTGTATCAGTTATAATTTTCTATCGAAAGTAAGTACAAACATGTATATCAAAAAAACTCAAAAAATTTTCTGTGTAGCATAAATAATATGTAATATGCATATCTCGAAATGTTCTATCACTCTTGAGGTGTTTGTTTAGAAAAAAAGCAGTCTGCGTCACGCAAGCAGCCGTTGATAAAGAGACCCAACAATCAGCAGAGAAAGATGAGTTTATTTCAAAGCAATGTCAGTATCTAGGGAAGCAATCTTCTTCGCGCAGTATTGGTTCGGAGACGAATGAAGAAAATGCAGTCCCAATATATACAGTCAGTGATGAAAACTGTTATGATAAATCTGACTGGAAAATTGTGAGGAAGGAAGAAACTCCAGGTAACATTTATGACCATGCACCTGGCAAAGATAAAAGTGAAGAATCTTTTTATGACTCAACCACAGACACTCGTATGAAGGATGTCCTTGTAGAGGATACATACGATAAAGTTCTACAAACTTAATCTAGGTTAGAATATTCAGTCGACATGAGATTTATAATAAATGCTATTGACGACGAGGAACTAGCATAATTTCCAGTTTATTAATTACCTTGTATATTACAGTGTATAATATTAAGTGTATACTATTAAGTATTAAACTTAATAATTAATTCATATACTAGGAAGCTACCAATTATCAGAAAATATTATTAAAACAAAGTATGCTTCCAGCATAAAAATATTTTACTTGAAAATGTTTCATGAAGATAGAAAAACTGTGTGTAACTGCAAAATTATTGAAAAAAAACATATTGGACTGTAAGTTTTAAATCTGAAGAATTTTAAACACTTAACTTTCCCCAATTTTTTTTATTTGTCTTTTTGTCTATTCATATGAGCTCTTATATAAGTTTGTGGTCAACGTTTTTTAATGTGCATGTACTTTCTTATTTTATTTTTTTTTTTGCGCTGCATATTTACATGGCACAGCGATTTGTTGCCTGCTTATACAGCAGCTCTTTCTTTTACATGCTTATTCTATATTCATACAACTTATTTTTGGGCAGCGGAAAGGGTAGTAAAAGATGAAAGAATGGGCAAAATTGATTTTCAAAAACATATTGAAATACAAAATTAGCAATGTTAGATAAAACCACCAGGCTCTTTTTCAATATCAACAGACTCGGCTACAAGAATACCATAAACACAAACAGTAATGAACCGAATTATTGACCTGAGAGTCTGTAAATTAGGAAAAGTTTAAAGGTCAAACTCTTTCATTTCTTTTACGTATGAAACGTTTTTTATTTTGTTGATTGTAAATTTGTTATTCACAATTTGTACTATCACAACTTGTTTATCTTATAGATTGTATGCAAAAAATAAAAAGAAAATTTTGAGTCATACACTTAGTCATGTTAGTAATATTTAGAATTTCATGAATGAAATGATTTAAGAACTATACACACAAACAGTGACATGAGTATACTCAAATAACATTCGGAAGGGCAGGTAAAAATGCTCTTCCTGTTACACAAGTGTTAACATACCATATTACAGAAAACGAAAACACTACAAAGTAACAAGAAACTTAATTATTTTCTTTATAATCCATCAGATAAATCTTTAAGGTTTTCAGTTTGCTTATGTGTTGACGCAATCTTTAAACTATATCTAAAAGGGATGGATTATAGTGACAAGTAAGAACGATTTTCATGTATTTAAAATTCAATGTTGGAAGTTTTCTTTTCTATGAGATAAAACCGGTCACAGTTGCCTAATGGTAGAGAGTTCGCTTCGTAATCGAGAGGCCAGAGTTCGATTCTCGTTCGCGGTGCCGCGTCATACCTAAGACGTAAACAAAAGTAGTGAGTGTTCCTTGGCCAAGCGCTCGGTCCTAGAAGTGAAAGTCACGTGTCTTTCGGATATGACCTTAAAAACGTAGGTCCCGTGTCACGGCGCTGGCACGATAAAGAACCGTCACTGCTCAATGGCCCTGAGTGCCGAGTATAGGTCTAAATTTGAAGCCCTTCACCGGGATACAGTGACGTCTCCATATGAGTGAAAAATTCTCAAGAGGGACGTTAAACAATTTACAATATATAATCTATGAAATAAATGATTCTAATATCTTTTCTGGCATTAAGAGATCATTAATAATAATGATAAAATACTTTATTCAAAGAAGATAAACCGATTAGTGTAATGCACTAGTCTTCTTCGGGGCCCTCTTAACATATTAACAATAATACAAAACAGTGTACAATATTATCAGGGTTCTCAATGAGCTGTTTTACTGTGTTGCTCCCGACACAGTAAAATTTTCTCCGACACAGTAACGATTCAAATTTCATGCATGCGACACAGTAAAAATTTTGCCGACACAGTAAGAGTTGTGATAATCTAAACACACAAATTCTCTCTAACTGAAACTTTTATCAAACAATTCTACCGTCTTTCAATTCAAAAAGTTATAACACTCAATTACTAGGGCTTCACCTTGAGAAATCAATCATCTCCTAGAACCTCGCCGGACTTTACTCATGACGGAACAAAGACAAATATATTGTTTTCACAATTCAATGTACCGGTTAATTGGTAGTTGCAATAAAATACTTTGTATTATTTATGAAAAATATTTAAATATGTCTTTCCTATAAAGCCAAGGCTCTAGAATTATGTAAGCACTGTAAGTCAAAGATATTAACATCGTACCGAAGTCATTTAATTGATGTAAATAAATTGCCGAAATTTTTGAAATTTCAGCATGTTCAAGGAACTCTTTAAAATATTTTACTGTTCTGAAGTTTCTTTTTTTTACGGTTACTCGATCAAGAAACCTGATAAATAAACACGGAAAATCTACTTTCAAAAATGTTAAGTAGTTCGACTATCGATCAGAATTTCCTCTAATTTTCAGAACGTTTTTTCCCTTTTATCAGTAAGTACGACCATACCATTTGTGTAACAAATTAGCGATTTTTAAATATGTATGTGCTTGTAATCTTTTGAATTTATAATGAATTGTGCGAATTTGTTCGCGAAAATACAGCGAAATATTAGTGTTTCGCGTAAACTTTGCAACACAAAAAAATCTCAAATGATGGAGAACCCTGATTATAATAAATAACACAACATAACGTACAATTACATATAATAAAGATCGATTTTAGGACATGAAAATATGTTTCTCTTAGCTGCGGCATGTTTTAATAAATTTTTCTTCATTTTTACGAAATGTTTGTACAGTTGGTGAAATACGTTTATTCAAAGGTAATTTGTTCCATAAATGAACTCCTGAATAATGAAAAGGGTTTTTAAATTAATTTGTTCGATATTTCAGTAGATGAAGGTCAAAGTTTATTTCAGATCGTAGAACATAATTATTAGAAGAAATAAATTCAAACGAGTATCTTAAATAAGTAGGTGTCATGGAAAGTAGTCCCGATACCTATATCAAATTTGACATTTTTTTAAAGAAGAGGCAAAGGCCAAGAACATACAAAATACCATTTTCTGAAAGACTCTAGGTAATTTTGATTCGTTTTCTTTGTCTGATATGGAAAAAAAACCTTCCTCATTTATGACCGTTTTCTTAATTTTTCATTGAACATGCGAGTGTCAAATATGATTTTTTTAAAATTGTTTACCTACAAATTATGCCCCGACACACCTTATTTGACCAAGCTAAAGTTACAAAGCATTATAACAGGACTTTATTTCTTAAATTTGATACTTTTGTAGGTACCTTTCATTAACTAGATCTTGACTAATACTTGAATACAGTTTATATCTTCACATTTCATGAATTTCTCTTCGACGTTTTAAACTGGTTTTAAGTACTGAATAGAGTAAATATTTTATGAGCAAACAACAAAAGTAGAATGTCGACAAAGTCATGAAATCGGTTCGAGGCATAACAAAGCTGCGTAAATGACAATAAAACCCTGAAAACCACTCTAGCAATGAACCAAGGGGATGCGTACTGGACTGGTATTTACAGACTCTTTTCGTCCATTATTCGATTTTAGATACTGCTTTATATTTATATACAAAATAATAACAATAGTAATCAATCGATACTCTTATTAATGTGAAATAATGAAAAACTGAGTGAAAACAATATGTTGCCAAGCCCCATTTGAGAAACAAAATTAGCATTCTCTTTTGTTTCAAACTCTCACTGTAGATTATTCATTTTAAGAAGATTAAAAAAAGAGACATTAAAATCTTACTACTTAGCATGTAACACCCTTTCTCTCTGACAATAAGTTTTAGCTGCTGTATAATTATATTCTTTATTTCTGATAATTTACACCATAGGGGGATATGGAGCCTGGATTTTTTCCTACAAAATAAGAAAGTGTCAACATTTTCTGTCAATTTGATTTGCATTGAAATTCGTACTTTTTGATAATTCGGTCTTACATTGTTAAACTTCTAGATCTAGAACATCCTATATCTTATATACTGACGGACTTTAAAAACACATCACAATTTATAATTAGATTAATTTTCAAAAACATTTTGAAAATCTTTATTCACCATACAAAGTGCTGCTTTTTAAAATCCACTCTCGATTTACCTGCGCTCATTGTTTGCACGATGTGAGTTGTATTGCACTAGATAATCGGACTTTTTTCAAAACACATGGAAGAATAAAAAAGGGGTTTTGTTGTTATCAATCAAATTTGTCGATGAACGTTTAGGCATCACTTACAAAAGAAATCGGAATAAAGATTATGCCGCGTTTAAATAATGAAATGCGAAACCGAGCTCTCAGTTTGCTGTAAGCAAGGTGTTAGTCAGCGGAAGGTAGCTAGGCGTTTTTTGTGTTCATACCTGTGCAATTAGCCGGTTGCTGCATAAGTGGTTTCATGAGACAGGATCAATAAATGATCGTCCAAGACCAGGACAACCGTTTCGTACAACACAACGTCAACAGGCGTGCATACGCAAACGTCATTTACGAGAACGGTTTACGGCCCCTGAAACCACGGCGAGGACGTCATGGGAGGCCTATATATCCTAGAACAGTTTCTAGAGACTAAAACGCCATGGGATTCGCTGCAAAAGACCTTACAAAGGGTCAGAATTAAACCAGCAACACGGACGTAACAGATTGCAATGGGCCAGTCAAATCTGAATCAACGCAGGAATTGGACAAAGTGAGTCTAAGTTTAATGTTAGCAATGCAGACGGCAGAGGTCGAGTTTACCGTTCTTTAAATGAACGTTTTGTGGACAATTGTGTAGTTGAACGCGGCGGATTTGGAGGGGGTGGCGTCATGGTCTGGGGTGCAATAAACCACTATTTTCGTTCACAACTGGTAATTTTGAATGGAACCCTCACTGCCAGGAGGTACGTGGATGGAATTCTTTCGCCTGTTTTAGCACCATTATTGCAGCAGCATAAACAAACCAACAGGCTTATTTTTCAACAGGACAATGCGCACGCACATACGGCAAGATGAACTCAAACTTTTCTGCAAACGAACGGCATAAACGTCCTTGATTGGCGCGCTTTGTCTCCAGACTTTAAAATCCGATTGCGCCTAAGCCTCAAAACACACAGAAACATTGGAAAGCCTTGTTGGACTTGTTGGAGGAATGGCAGAATATTCCTCAAATGATTTTCGAAGTGGCTGCCAGTCATTGACACGTCGCCTTCGCGCCGTCATCAGTGCCAATGGAGGCCATACATGGGTTTAGTAACCAAAACCACATTTTTGACGCAACCCTTTTTGACATTCTTTTCAATTGTACCCCTTTTCTGAATAAAATGGTGTTACAAATTAAAGAACAATGAACATTGAACATGGTTGAATACATACAAGATATCGATGTTTATTTGTTTGAAAACTGGTAATTATAAACGATTTATTACATAATTAAAGATGAAGAAAAACATATGTTGTCACATTTTCACTATATAGCGGCATAAATGATGCCTGTAAATGATTCAAATTCTTTAAAATCTTACGAAATAAAATTTCCAATACAAAATTGTTTAAAAAAAAACTTACAATTGCGCTCATTTTATGTAGATCCAAAAGTATATAAACTCAGATGTGTTAAAAAAATAATAATTTTTTCTAAAATAAATAAATAAAAAACAAGAAATGGTGCTTTTGACATCATGCTACATGTTTGTCTCTCAAAAGTTTAAGTTTGAAACTGAAAATAAAAATCGCCAAGAACAATAATAAAGACCCTTGCTTAAGTTCAAATGTAGCTTTTGAAAACGTTTTTATTTTATTTTTTTCAAACATAAAATTCATACACTCATCCGTTTTTTATTAAACCATAAGCAAAGTTACTGAAAAATACTATAATCTTGGTATATATTTATATAACCTATTGGATGTAGAAAGTATCTGAATGTATTGAATGACTCACAAATTTTATTCTTTTTTTTTCTACATGGAACAAAAATTAATGATTAAGATATATTTTTGAAGCATTTGTAATGAGCTAAATTTATAAAGTAATGTGTAATGAGGACTTTTAACGCTTAGTGCCAAAAAAAAAAAAAAAAAAAAAAAAAAAAACGTCAAGAGGGAATGGTTGCGATAAAAAGAATTGTAGTTTTATCTGAACTTCTCAGGATTTCCTGAAGGAAGTGATCTGATTTTTAAACGATTAATATGAAAAACATAATATCTTACATGAAGAAGATGAATTTCGGAAGGAAAGGCTACACCACACGTCCGATTACACATTCCATGTACATTACACTTGCCAAGAGACTAAGAGCGACAATAACAACCATTCATCGATTTAAACGTATAATAATGAATACACGTTTTATTATTTAGTGGATAAAGAATGATGATCCCACATATTATAATTATGTTCTTGGAAATCATTTTTGCCTAACGTCACGGCGTCAGTCTGTTTAAGGATTGATATTTGCAAGATCAAGGATTTCATTGACACTAGGTTTTCAAAATCAAAAGTAAGGACATATTTCAAACCCACAAAAATATTGCTCAAAAGACTCCTTATGCAGATATTGATTGATTTAGTCGGGCAAGCTTTATAAGAAGCTGTTACTTGTTAGCTTTTAATATTGATTGGAAATTTATCTAAGCAATGTAATACATTAACGTAGACTTTCCCTTTTTCCTCATATTGGATGTTTCTTTTTTCTACACGGAACACTAAATGAATGATAAAAATATATTTTAATTTGAAAGTTTATTAAACTTATACAATAATGTATCATGAAGACGTAGTACATGTACTTCGTAAAAAAATTAAATCAAACGCTGAGAGGGAATGGTTGTGATAGTAGATTTACTGAAGTTTTCAGGATTTCCTGAAGGAAATGATCTGGTACTAAAAAGCTTAAAATTAAAATAATAATATCTTGCATGATGACGATAAAGTTCGGAAGGGAAAGCAACACTACACTTCTGAGCACACATTCCAAGTACATTACACTTGCTAAAAGACTAAAAGCGACAATAACAACCATTCATCGTTTTAAACACATAGTAATAAATACACGTTTTATTATTGAGTGGATAAAGAATGATGATCCCGTAGATTATCATTAATATATTCTTGGAATTTATTTTTGGCTTTTAAAACTGGTTAGAGTTTTATTTAAACAAATGTTTATTAACTTGGACTTTACTTATTTTCATCTTGGATGTTTCTGCTTTATAAGTGAAATGATGAAATAAAAACTTACATGTAGTTTCCTGCCATGGGGAGGTTATCGAATTGGAGCGCAATGGAAAACGGCCATCCTCTTTATTTTGTCTTATTTCTCGTCGTAATGCAAGGTTTGTTCTTTCTTTTACGTTTTAATTTTTTTTAATTAACATCACATTATTTGTTTATTTATTTATCTATTGGTAATGGCATAACAGAAATAAACATTAAAAAAAATGCTCATAGAGTAGAAGACCGTAGTAAGGGAATGTCTATTATTGTATACATGTATATTGATTGCTTATGTCGTCTAATGCTATACAAGCTCACTACAGCTAGTTTTTGCTAAATTTATATAGGCCAAATAAAGCACGTTCAGAAAATGAAATATGTCCTTTATTTACAGGACGGTATACAATTAATGTAAATAATCTAACGCACAGGTAGGGGATCAGACTCACAAGATCGGAATGTAAGTTACGTACGATATTTAATAATGTCCGACCCCCCTTCCAAAAAAAGAAAGGAGTACAAAAGTACCTATACCTGTAAAACAAGACAAACAAAACATCACAAAAAAGTAAACAAAAAGATGGCACATCAAAACAAAGACGTGCAAATAAAATAACTCCTTAACATAGGGTACGCAGCGGAATAAAAAAAAAAACAAACACGCATGGATACGATGGCCGATATGAGCCGTCAAAATACAAGTAAGAGTAGCTCTATAATATGTACGTAGAATCAATGGGAAAACGCATGAAGAAGTAATAAAGAGATTTGTACGTGTACAAATCTTGAGACAAAATACTCTCGAGGCTTCTTAACATTCCTTAGATTTATAGGGAAGATTATCTGTAAACTTAGAAGGAACAAAAATCTAAAACATGTGTATCCGATTTTTCTTCTACTTTGTTAAATAAATGTTGTGTACCTTACTTCAACTGATCTCAAAATGCAGCGACTTTTTTTTTATTTTCGTTTTGGATCTAATCGAATATTTTGCAAGTGTCTCTATTAAGATTCCTGTGGGTGTTTTGATTTTAACTTTCATGACAACATAATCTTAACCTTCATTCATAAGCCCCAAGATGCTGGTTAAAAATTCCAGAAGCAAGAGATCTGCATCTTTATTATTTCTTTTGCCGCCAGATGAAAATCTGTTTCTTGATTATCTACTTAAGAAATGTGCTTATTTTTTCACATTGGCGGATCCAGAGGGGGGTCCGGGGCTTGGGACCCCCTCATATTTTTTGCCACGTGGAGAGAGAGAGAGAGAATGTGCTCCGGGAATGAATATTTGTTCGTCTAACTTATGTGTTGAATAAATAGATTCTCACACATTTAGTTTCCTCCATTCACCTTCACTACTGTTTTTTTAATGAAAGAATGGTAGAAAATATTCTACTTATTTGACATATTTTATGTATGATATATAACATGCGAGGTTTAATTTGTTAGATTCCTGCGATCTGTGGCTGTGTTGGCTATAATCATGTATGTACGGAGTATTGATTAAATATTTTTTGAAGGAACTAATGTAACTCTTTATTTTTAACCCCACCCGCACGCCAACCTAAAAAAAACGTTTTTCAAATACTAAAAAAAAAATCCTTTGAAATGCTGCAAAACTATTCAATTTTAAGGCGTCAGTAGTTTTTGAAATGTGTTTTATTAAATTAGGACTGGGGGTACGTTTTCAAAGAAAAAAAAGGAAGTAAAATAATGATGATATTTACCACAACCTTATATCTTTTCATATGTGCGTGTCAATCTTTACTTGAGAGTGTGTAGGGGGGGGGGGTTTGAGGGACACAACCCTGGAACCCCCTTTCAAAGATGGCTGGATCCTCCCCTGTTTCATACTATACTTCTCCCTCTTTCCATATAACTATTTAGCTCACCTGAGCCTTCGGCTCAGGTGAGCTTTTCTGATCAAAATTTGTCCGTTGTCTGTCGTCGTCGTTGCCGTTGTCGTCGTTGTTGTAAACTTTTCACATTTTCATCTTCTTCTTAAGAACCGATGGACCAATTTCAACCAAACTTGCTACTAAGTATCCATGGGTAAAAGGAATTCAATTTTATTCAAACAAAGGGCCGCACCTTCTTTCAAGGGGAGATTATTATGAATTAGTGAAAATATAACATTTAAAAAAATTTTTCTCAAGAACTACTTGGCCAGGAAAGATGAAACTCATGTGGAATCATCCTCAGATAGTGAACATTCAGATTTGTTCAAATCACGGCCCTTGGGGGTAGGGTGGGGCCACAATAGCTGATCAAATTTTTACATTGAAATATATAGCAAAAATCTTTAAAAATCTTCTTCTCAAGAACCATTTGGACAGGAAAGATGAAACTCATGTGGAATTATCCTCAGATAGTGTACATTAAAGTTTATCAAATCATGGCCCCTAGGAGTAAGATGAGGCCACAATGGCCGATCAAAGGTTTACATAGGAATATATAGGGAAATATTAAAATATTATCTTCTCAAATATTGCAGAGCCATGATTAGTTGTATTTTATGAAAGCGTCCTAAGATACTGTAGATTCTAGTTTGTTTAAATCATATCCCCAGAGATAGGGTGGGGCCACAATTATATATAAAATATATTTTAAAAGATCTTTTTCTGAAGAATAGCAAAGCCATGATTAATGATATTAATAGGGATGCATCCGCAGGAAGTGTAGAATAAAATTTGTTCAAATCAATACCTCCAAGGGCATGAGAGGGTCTCAATGGTGGATCAAAATTTTACATAGGAAAATAATGGGAAAAATCTCAATAACAGAAAAGTTATGTAAGTCATATTGACATGTAAGAATCCTATGTATTGAAGATTTGTTCGAATTAGAATTCAAGCCACCCCCTCGGTAAACGTTTCAATTCTGATCTGATTTGTGCGTTTTCCTAGCTCAGGTGAGTAATGTGACCCCCGGGCCTCTTGATTCTTCATTGTTTTTTTCTCATTGGAACAAGGAAACATTCCGTAGATTTGTGTAAACTGTTCTTTTTTTATTGATAATGGGTAAATACATTTAAATGAAGTATACAAATGCTTTTAATGATACCAGGGTATTTAACACAGCAACACTGATTTTCCTTTTATATATATTGTCAGCGATCTAATCTGTCGGGTTTTTCCATTATTTAATTAAGGCATATTTTATGAGAGTCGTTATTCAAATTTCATAGTAAATGAGCTGCATTTTATGTAAAACATTCGCATTTTTTCATTCTATTTTTTCCTTGTAAAATAAAATGAAGAAAAAAGAAATATGGAATTCGAAATGGCAAAGCATAAAATTTAAAATAAACACATATTTTACACATATCATCTAACTTGAAAAAAAAATAATAAAAATGCAGCTCCATTGTTTCTGGAATATTTTCCCGGTTTTTGGGGGCATACGATTGAAGGTTAAGATTTCATAATTTTGCCGTCGTAAAAATAAAAATCAGAAAAAAAGACAACAGTAATTAAACAAAAATATAAAACACAGAGGGATCAAAGGTAGAAATAAAAACAATCTTGTTGAATTTTGTGATCAATTGAAGTAAGGTGCACACCATTTATCAAACAACTAAAAATGAGGGGAACATGAGAAAATAGAGGGAAAAATCAAAACCATATGTTGTTGATTTTGTCCTTTCTAAGTTTTCAGATAATCTCTCCAATAAATCTAAGGAATGTTAAGTACCTTCGAGTGTATTTTGTCTCAAGATTTGTACATGAACAAATTTATATTCCTACTTCATGCGTTTGCCATTGATTCTACATACATATTAATAGAGCTACTCTCACGTGTATTTTGACGGCTCATATCGGCCATCGTACATGAAATACACGAAATAATACAATTATTATTCTACACTTAGTCTAATAATTGTTGTTTGTCTCAAAGATGTTTGTATACGCTATACCAGTCATAAAGTATACCGCACTTCTTTCGTTGACTGTACACTGCCTTAATGATTGTTTTACATAATGTTCCTCAATCTCCACACTTTTTTTCACTTTAATGCAAATAACCTGCTGCCGTTTTAATATCAATAACATGTTTGAAAAATACGTTAATTACATATAGATAATTTTTACTGTGACACATAAATGAACAATAAATATAAGTGGGCTAAACACCATTATAATTTTGAATTTAACTTTTTTTTTATAAACTGTGCATATAAGGGACACTTATTTTTACTAAAAGTAAAGTACATGCATTTAATTTTAAAATTAAAGGGAAAAAATACTGCTTGAAATATACATACAGATATTCATGAACAATATTTAACATGTATCCACAACAAACCATATCATAGTTAACTATAGTTAATTAACCAAGGTTTCCGATAGTAAATCAAGTTTTTCACTTTAGTAAATCAAAGCTGATTATTTCTGAATTTCACAGGGATAATATATATTTATTTTAATTCCTACACATGATTCATGTTATCAAAAGGGATATTTTTTATGTATGCATATTTTGGCAAATGATTGTATAATTAGTAAGAATTTTAAACATATTCAACAAAAATTTAATATTTCAGTGTACACATCGTGACAAAGAATTATAAAATATAGTTATATATTGTAAACTTTATCGTTAACTTTAAAACATTTTTGTTTAGAATATAATAGCATACTTTTAATCTGAGAGAAAATTTATTTTAAATGTATATTACTTTTATTCTTGGGATCCTGTCTTATTTTTAAGATTCAAACTAGATGTGCATCAAAACTGTCTATTCCGACGTTTGAGTAATCCGTAACACCGTGACTTGTATATAACGTTTAATTTTGCTCATATTTTATTATATTCCATGTTTCTTTCCACTGTACAATTTACATTCTAATATATTCTCTCACAAGTAATCCTAAGTAATATGATTATGAGGTAGGTCAAAATGTTTTGAGTCTAGCACAGGAACAATATATTTGGATGACGAAGTCCTATTCTTGATGTTTTTTTCTCTGTCTCTCATGTATTTCCATCTTTTTGGTTTAAGAGGGGGGTGCTAGGAATAAAATGCTCCGAACTCTTGTGTTCTGGAGGTCCGTGTTTGGTCTGCTCCAATTTTTTATTAAATTGTTTTACTGTATGGACTCTGATATTGAACACTGTTCGTTATCTCTGCATCCTTCCAATAAGTGGACAAAGTTGATAATCAAATGAAAAATTATCTTTTAATGAAAAAAAAAAAATTCAAACTTTGTTTTGCTTAATGAAAGTAGTAAAATATACTGTATCTTCTTCTTTTGCATGAAATCATTTAAGAACTATCTGAAATTACATGTAACAATTACATTCAGACAAACAGTCAAGTGTCTTTCTGTGTAAAATATTGTCCATACTTTTCAGACAACATTTATAGCATGTCCAATCAGCATTGGAATTGGTTTGAGGCACAACAACACTGTATTAACGACAACAGCACTCTTAAAATTAATCCAGTGATGACCGCAGAGAACGAGTACAGACGATATTCATCAATAATGAAAATTTTAGGTTAATCTTTTTTTATAACGTACACAATGAAAAATTGTTTTGTTTGACCAAAGGGTGTGAAATTAAGATTTATTTCTCTATTATTTTTTCCCTATTTTTTTCCTACAGAATCAAGCAAAGTGTCTTTTCTTCCGTCAATCGAATTGAAATGTGAAAGACTTAGAATTATCCTGTTATATTAATTTTTCAACCCCTACTGTTAATTATATCTTTTAAATTTAAGTATATCTATGATTTTACGCTTTTTTTTACTCTCTAGACATTATGCTTCTTTAAGTAAAGTTAAATGCAGACCATATATAGATTTTTTTCCCTTTGAAAATGTTGTTACAACGAATATTCCTAACAAAAAAATACTATAGTAAACTAATTTAAAGTTAGCTTTAGTACCCAAGTTTAAACTTTGGAACTTTGATTTACTATGGCGAATACTTTGACACGTTGATTGACTATAGTGAAAACTTTGGAACTTTGATTTACAATAGTTAACTCTAGTAAACTATAGACAGTTAACTTCAGTTTACTATTAGTATTTTGTGGTTAGGGACAAACAATTTTTGTCCTTCAAAGAATCCTTAAAGATTAAGTTATTTTACATGTCAACCTTTGACGTTTAGTTTAATTTTGTAAAACCATTTATTGAATATACTGTAAGTTACATCAGCATTGCATGTACTTATAGGGATTTACTTGTTCTTTTAAAATGCTAAACTACTAGCATACACGATCAACTTTGAAAATTATGTTCTTTTTAAGGGTGTTACAGTGTAGAAGATCTCACTCAAACAATGAACCTGACATTTATTATGAAGTATGCTTCAGCAGGCTTTTGCCAAGAAATATGTTGATCCAAAAGTCTTCCAAACTTTGGAATCAAGGTGAAAGTCACATTGAATAATTTACTACATAACAAAGTCTTATTTGAATTATATTCGTAAGTCATTGCATTGGTGTTAGTTTTAAAAAAATCAAACCAAAAACAGCTGATAAACAATTTGGAAAGTACATGAAGGTGTTTTATACCTGTATGATAAAAATGACAACAATTCGAATTTACATTGGGCTCATATACATGTAAAAAATGGACGGTAAAAATTATAGTTTTGCTGACATACGAAGTCTGAGCTGACGTTTTCTTATGCTAAAAATATTTTTCTAAAATTTTCAGTATTCCGGTTAATTCCCTGATTGGTGAGTTGTTATAATGGTTTACATTAAAAGGTGTAAAATCGGATTGTGAAACATTTTTTTATCTGGAGTTTATCAAATCTACAAATCTTGGAATCCTAAAAAATGACACGAATCTTTGCACATGAAGTGCATTTTTTTTCTTACGTAAATGAAAACAATCAAAACTGTAACAGTTGCGCCCTTGTCGGAGAGGTTACGAATTTACTCGAGAGTTGCAGATAGTAATAAATGCAGATTTTTATACGATACTTTCAAACACAAAATGGAAATTGTGATTGATTGTATGTTGTTAAGCTTGCCTCCTCAGAATTTTTCACTGATATAGAGACGCCACAATTTGTCGATGGAGAGCTGAAAGTTTTGTCCTATGCTCGGAACTCAGGGCCATTAAGCAGGGTGGGTCTTTCTCGTGCCAACACATACTGCGACACTGAACCTCGGTTTATACGGTCTTATCCGAAGGACCGGTCCCCATATCCCACAGTGGGGTTCGAACCCGCGACGTAAGGATCAATTCCTTACTTTGACCTTTAACCTCTGCGCCACGTCGACGACCTGAAATTTGAAAAGTATGCACACAATCATTTATTGGAAATTCTAAATTATGACCTTTGTAACAAGAAAATAAAATGAAGATAGGATTACCATCACAGCCCATGCATAACTACATGTATTTTTAATATTTATTGAGGCAATGGAATGTGTATGCTTTAAAAGACCACTAAAGCCGAGGACTATATCCAGTACTCAGTGCGATAAAACCTGCCCAAACTACACAGACGAATTCTCCTTTGCCCAGTGCGGTGGAAGAAATGCATATACAATATACAATTCAGGTACATGTATATAAAAATGAAACTTGCAGAAAACATTTCTTAATTAAAATTCTAGGAATATTTTTTTTTCCTTTATTAAAAAATTAACTCTCTATGATATTGAAACTATCATTGTATATTTGCGACAGTTTTGCAATATTATGAATATTCTGACGTAATTGATTGTTCTGCCAGTGCGTTTCCTCTGGAGTCTTAGTGTAATGGTTCATCTTCAGATCGCGGGCTCGAATCCGACTACAGAACCAGAAGAATGGTCATTCCGATCAGAATTAATCTGGAGTCTTATTATGCAGTAGATGCTGGAACGAAAAAAAAACTGCTCAATGTCTCTGGGTGTAATGATCTTAATTTGCACCTGTCCATCGACGAGCAGCAGTGTTTTGATATGATTGAAGAATTCTGAAAGGAACATTAAACAGACAAACACCTAAAGAAATTTATATAGTTGTTATAAGTTATGGTCCGCTAAAGTAAAAAAAAAATTGGACGGAATTTGTATTGATAATACATAACATCTCATTCAAACCTAAGATTTTTTTCTTCAAAAAAATAAAATTGTAGCTTGATTTCAGGATAATTTTTTGAAGATGAAAGTTGATTAAAAAAAACAGTAAAATCTAACAAGTAACGATTAATATCAAAGCAAAATATAAGGAAACTTTTCTTTAAAATATTTAAAACTTTAATTTTTGTCACATTTTGATAATTGCACATAACTTTCATTTACGAATTAATTTATAAATCATTGCCCAAATCTTTAATGACATGCAAATATAGGTATTGAAGAATAAATCATTATAATTAGCTTTTTTTCTAGATAAATGAAATATATTTTTGCTAAACCTTTATAGACACAAACCAAACGATTCCTTAATATTTTGAGTTTAAAATGTGAATAAAAACATTTAAACGATATCTCCAAAATCATTAAATGATAAAAACAACCCATTTTAACCCAGATAATACATATAACCCCCCCCCCCCCCTTGCTAATTTTGTCTTGTATTAGTGGTTTTTTTAGATTAATAAAAAAAAAAAATATATATATATATATATATATATATATATATATATATATATATATATATATATATATATATATATATAAAGCACTAAAAATGGTCATTTTTAGTGCTTTATATAAATTTCCATCCGTGACCTTGTATCTACTTGATAGATCCGACATTTAGGATATACAGTGTTGTTGGTTTTTTTAGTGCTTTGTATATATATATATATATATATATATATATATATATATATATATATATATATATATATATATATATATATATATATATATATATATATATATATATATATATATATATATATATATATATATATATTTTTTTTTTATCTAAAAAAACCACTAATACAAGACAAAATTAGCAAGGGGGGGGGGGGGGGGGGTTATATGTATATATATTATATGATTGAATAATTTCCATCTCTCTAATTGGCTGAGATCCAACTATGTTAGAAAAATATTACGTTGTATTGACCTGCACGTGACGTTCCAGGTCAATACAAGGATTTATTTCCTCTACATTGATCTAAAAATAGATTGGGGAATTCCAAATTGATACAAATTGTTTTAGAAAGATACTTAAATGACTATGATTTTTATTTTCATGTGAACAAAACATAAGCGAATATATATTTTAGGTGAGGGTGGTAAGAGGGGATGCAGGGACCCCCCCCCCCCCAACACTTTTACTGAACAACAATTTTTTTTTTTACTTTTTGGCAGTCAGTTTTCCCTGATAATACTCCTTCCTTTCAAAATATAACCTATAAAAAGACTAACATTATATATTTCTTTCATGACTACTAAAAATGATTTTTAAAAAAATCAAATTGATACGACTGGTATAAGGTTTATTAACATTTTAATTCTGCTACTCTCTTGTATTTGATTAGGACTTAATAAAATGCAAACAAATAATGCGCTGTATCATTTTATCAGTGAATCATATAATAAAACAATTATTGCTGAGTTTTTCGGTCAATACAATGATTTAGCCATCTTCTAAATATTGTACACCTCAGATGGCTAAATCATTGTATTGACTTCAAAACCCAGCAATAATTGTATAATATACATACTGAAACATATTTCAGTAGTTTTCTCTCTCTGCAATGTCAAGGATCTCTGTGTCGCCATAAAAGTTCCGCAAAACATATTAGCAAACACGCTTTGAGCAAGCAAAATGCCAATTTAACACCTGCTAAAGAGACCCGTCATACGGAAAGTTCCTAAAATGCACTGAATCTTTTAAAGTTCAATGAACGGTAATCGCTGGAATATTAGAGAGTTTCGTTATTTTCTTAGCATATGATTTTAGTAAATAACACTTGTCAGCACAATATTAGCGAATGTGATAAAAATTTGATTATTTTTTACAAAGATAAGTCCTACCTATCTGGACTGCAGTGCACAAGTTATTTACATGTACATTTTTTACCCTTACCTTAGGAGGTGGGGCGGAACAAAATCCAGTTTGTTATGCTATTGAGTGCGGCACAAGAGTTGAGTTTTCCATTTCTCAAGACTGCTCCGAATTAAAGTTTGGAGTATGCATGGAGAGAGGTAATTTCTGCGCTTATAGGTTATATTTAAGTGTTGCTGCTACATTTACTCATAAATAGATTTACCTATAGACATTATTTAGAATAAACAATCCTGAAGCTGTTCAAATCATACTTCTAAGAACTTCAGTGATATATTTTAGGTGTAATATTAATATAAACTGAAATTCTGATTTTCAAATTCACATTTTTTTTAAATATGTATTAATTACAAGTCTTTATTCTAAGTAAAAAACAGTATGTCATATATCTTGAAAAAAGAAAAGTCTCCATTTTAAAACTGAATGCACATTTATATTTATATCGATATCTGATAAAATGTGGAGAGATTTTTGTTTTGCTTATGTTACATGTTTTATCTACATTTTTCTGTCGTTATTTTGTATTATAAACATTTTCAGCTTCCTCGCTATAACTTGTAAACTAATTTTAGCCATTTTTTTGCGCATAACCACATTTATAAGAATTGGGAGACAAAATTTTCGAATTTCATGACACTTTTCCCCGATCCAAATAATCAAAATAAATGTTAAGTACAAATATTATTTTAGTAAAACATTAATTTATCATGGATTTACATTGAAGAATTATCCAATAGTGTCGAGAAAATTAACTTTTTATTAAATTAAAAAAATACTTAAATGCTTCATCTTTCTTATAAATTACATATAACATGTAAATGAATCATGATCAAATGTACAAATTCAATTGCTGTTGTTGCTCTAATGACCTCTTGCTTTTTACCCCACAGCCTGGAGGATGTAAAATTTGTGATTTTACAGTATTGTGTTTCCTAACTGTTGTACACAAACTCTGAAGTATGGCTGGAACCTTCTCCAACATATACACATAAATTTGAATTACTAGATCTAGTTACACAAATCTTCATTTACACTCATTATCAGCTTTACGTCTTATCTAAAACTTACACACACTCATGAATACTAGATGTTAAAATCATGCATGAAAAATATGGAGATAATGGACCGTATTCCAAATCAAAAGTCCATAAAACAACACAATATGGAGCAGAGCAAACAAGAACCTTCAAAACATCAGAGATGGGATCGGGTGCTATGGAAATTGCGCATTCCCTTCAGATCAGTCACACACTCCGTCTGCTCCATTTAAAATCACGAAATGACTGAAAAAAATGTCGTCTATGCATTGTTCAAATAGTAGACTAACATTTTGTATTAAAAACGTAAGTCAGCATTTGACTCAACGATAAATTGTATTTGCTGACAAAGTTATTGTATCGACCATAGAACTTACGAAATGAAAACCTTTAACAAGACTGCTGATATATTTATTTCGTGAACTTGTTGTCAATAAATTACCTCTTTTTAGAAATTGTTGATAGAGCCTGCTCTTGCGTATCGAATCAACTGAAATAAATAAACTCCGTATGCAGGGGATGAAGGTATATTGCTGTTGACGACATACAACTTCTACAAAAATGCAATACTGCAAATTACTACTTTATGGACAGACTATCATGACAAATATTGAACACCGTACTTTTAAATATTCAAATGCGTGTTACTATACATAGAAATTAAATTAAACGAAAAATACGAGGGGTGATAAAAAAGTTCACAAACTAATTAAATAACTTCCATAACAGAAATAATATTTGATTTCAGTGTTGATTATATTTTTGATTAATCCTCGCTGATTTTAATGCACATCTGTCACCGTTCTGCGCGAAAAAAATCACGAAATGACTGAAAAAAATGTCGTCTATGCATTGTTCAAATAGTAGACTAACATTTTGTATTAAAAACGTAAGTCAGCATTTGACTCAACGATAAATTGTATTTGCTGACAAAGTTATTGTATCGACCATAGAACTTACGAAATGAAAACCTTTAACAAGACTGCTGATATATTTATTTCGTGAACTTGTTGTCAATAAATTACCTCTTTTTAGAAATTGTTGATAGAGCCTGCTCTTGCGTATCGAATCAACTGAAATAAATAAACTCCGTATGCAGGGGATGAAGGTATATTGCTGTTGACGACATACAACTTCTACAAAAATGCAATACTGCAAATTACTACTTTATGGACAGACTATCATGACAAATATTGAACACCGTACTTTTAAATATTCAAATGCGTGTTACTATACATAGAAATTAAATTAAACGAAAAATACGAGGGGTGATAAAAAAGTTCACAAACTAATTAAATAACTTCCATAACAGAAATAATATTTGATTTCAGTGTTGATTATATTTTTGATTAATCCTCGCTGATTTTAATGCACATCTGTCACCGTTCTGCGCATGCGCGAATCACGTGATATAGGCTGTTACGTGACCCACTCCGTAGCGTTCTGTCACAAAAGCTGAAATCTTTTTCTGAGTATTATATTTCTCCATGTAAGTTAATTTTTATACATGTAACAAGAACAGTTTATTTGTCAGAAAGTATCAAATCTCGGCAACAGAATGGGTGGGTAAGAATATCCTTTCCAAAAATAAGCATGGCGACCATCAAAACCCAAATCTTCTGTCTCGGAAGAGACGTTTATTCAAGGTGGATAGAAAATCGGTGCCTTCTTTTTATCATATCTAATATGTTTTAAATCTAAAGTAAACGATATCTTAGGTATTTATTAATTATATTATTGTTAAAACATTCAACTATTTTTCACATTGTAAATTGCATAGCAAATTTCTTAATTAAAAACACACCTAATTTTAAACCTGCTTTTACTGGGCAACATAAAAAGTATCATTTTTAACCATCTGCCTTCCTTCACTAAAACGACCAATCCAATCATTGATTGAATTTATAGGAAGTTATTTCTCTTAATAATCTTTGTACAAATTATATGTTACTAAGAAGGGATTTTTAAGATATACAATAAATTTTACCGTCGTTTTTTAAACAAGTACGACCGAGACAGCAATTTTTCGTCACAAGTGAACTATATAGTGACGTCATTTTCACATTGTGACGTCACAAACAAGGAGCAAAACTTTATTCACCATATTTTATTTATAGAACTTGTGTATGGCTATGTGTGTACCAAATTGTTTCTAATCTGAATTGTGGTTTTGTAGATATAGAGATAGTTCGCAAACTTTTTGATCACCCCTCGTACATGCTAAAAATGATTAAAAAAAATACAGTGACTAGATGTTGAAGAACAAATGAATGACACAACATTGCAAATACCTACAATGAAATTAAAAATAGGCGTCTTTCTCTTTGGACTGCCATGTCCAAACTAATTTGCATGAATAGGCTTTTTTTAAGGTCCAAAGAAGTAAGCTTCAAAGAACAATATTTACAGTGATTACATATACCTGTCTCAAAACGGGATATTTACATGACATTTGAAATGAACCACATGGCGTCGGAATCATTAAAATTTAATTTTTATACAGACTACTAGTATCTACAGTGTGTACGATGGTACAAACTATCTAAGTGTTTTAGATTTGAATAAATAAATTTGCATTTTGTAGTTTGGTTTTATTATAAACAGCCAATTGTCTGCGTTGAAAAGTAGGTCATGCACGGCGTGATAATCATGCAGTATTTGATACACTATTTTAGATTCAATGGTTTTAAAAATGTGAATATATATCACTATGTTTTCATAAAAGAAAATAACAGTCGTCAATGTCTGTTGTGACGCTTAATATATTATTTGAAGTTTGACGAGTGTAACTTTTGACGAGAAAAAGAAAATATTGTCAATATAGTCAAATTTAGCAAACCCTCAAAATTTCCACTTTTACAGTACGTGTTCTGTTTTAATGGGTCTTTAACATTGTATTGCAATGAATAAATCATATGTTTTTGCATATCAAGGCATATAAATGAAAAGAAGATGCACATTATTTCGAAATGCATACGAAGTGCTTCAAAATTGTTAAATACAACCCCCTAGAGCTAGGTTTCTGGTGCTAAAATGGGATTCTTTTAATCAAATTGCAAAAGGTATGAATTCCTTTTAATTTTTTTTTTTGGCTGCTAAGTTTAAGACAAATAAATTGTATAGAACACAAATGCCTTTTTAAAAATCTTAAAAATCAGGACCATTAATTTAGAAGTTGATAATTAAACAAACATCATCATAGTTCTATTCCTATTCAGAAAGAAGTATAAAACCCATTTGGTAGGAACAGGGGTCTTAGTGCTTGAACAGGGAGGAATTACATTGAAATAAAAACAATATTAAAGTCCATAAAGCAATAGAAAATAGGAGAAGAACAAACAAGGGTTTCCAAAATATCAGATATGGGATCATGTTTCTCAGGGAATGAGCATCCCCTGCGATCGTCCAAACGCGCCGTGTTCTCCTTGCCATGATAAGGAAATATAACAGAAAAATCGGTCGTCAATTCAATGTAAAATAATGGACTATGAACTAGTATAAAAAACGTCATTCAGTATTAGCTCAATGATAAATTGATTGATTGATTGATTGTATATTGTTGAAAGTCCTTCTGGAAATTTTTTCACTAATATGGAGACATTACCATTTTTCGATGGAGAGGTGCAAATTTTGTCTCATTATCAGCATTCAAGGGCATTGAGCAAGAAGGGATCTTTTTCGTGCGAGTAACTGCTACGACACACGGGACCTCGTTTTATACGGTCTCATGAAGAACTGCATTGTACATAACATTAGTAATTGTATAAAATGGAATCGTAGTCATCACTTGTGTAAACAGAGAAGTAAATAAAAAAACTGATTTAAAAGCTGTATAATATTTCAAGGCCATCTTTGTTGTCGATCATATACAACCCTTTACCGGTTCACATTATTATAAACTAGTTAAGGTCAACTTCTTTTCTTGAGACATATTTCATCTTCATTTCAATGTGTCATTATAGCTTTTATTGTTTGGACCAGTTTATAACATTTTTATGAGATTCAAATACCTTTAAATTACATTAGAGTGATATAAGACATTTTAATTTTTCATATCAAAAAATTAATATAAACAGATACACAGACGAGACAGGGTTGGATAGAGTCAATGAACCTTTGTAAATCCTTATTACCTCCGTCGTACCTTGTTGGAAACCTAAAAATACATGACGCAAAAGCTGCTTGCGAACAGTTAAATAGAACACATAATGGCTCATCGTGGATTGGTGTGGCAAATGAAGTGTATGTTGGATATGATCGAGGTAAACTGATTTTTTTTTCATTTTTTCTTTTTTTAGTTTTAAATATGAGGTTTATTATTCAGTGCTATGTAACGAAGAAAGAGGTGACAGAGGTATGTAACGAAGAGAGAGAGAGAGAGAGAGAGAGAGAGAGAGAGAGAGAGATTCAAAGTTATTTTTTTCTAATTCAAAATAAGTTCGTGGATATGATATACATTTATTGATGCATGATAAGCTTTATTTGTTGAAATAATTGTGCTTCAGTTTTGAGTGACATGCATTTCATTCAGTTGTTTCAGATTATTTATTTTTCATAATTGGAGATAATTTTAATGCACTTGCGCTCTGCCTAAAAATACGCAAATTCTATCTCCTTCATGTTCAAAGTACCCATTGGCCTTGCTTTTTTAAGGGGACAGAGAACACATGGTCGCATGATGAAGTTTTATCAATAATAACATGTTAGTCTCAGGTTATTCATGTTCTTAACCTGATTTAAATCATAGTACTTGTATAATTTTTTTTTACAGTTTGTTTGATTAATCCATCTTGTATCAAAATATTTAAAAATTTAAAAACTTCCTTGTTAGTATTAACAAATTACGGAATAAATCGATCCGCTGTTTTGTTTCTCTACACTTTCTAAACTCAGGATCTTTATATCAAAGTTAAATTGTTTAAAAAATACTGGTCCATAAATTATGATACTGGTTCTATAAATTTCAAATTGAATTTGCGTATTTTTCGTGTAGAACATTTTCCTAGTTACCAATTTTTCAAGATGCATCTGGCACTGGTTACTGAAAAAGTACTCTTAAATTGACATTTAAAAACAGCTGACAATGTCAGACAATATCAGTGCCAGATGCATCTTGTTAAATAATAAAACAACTCAGATGACAAACCTTGTGCTAAATATTCTTTTAAGTGAAGTGAAATGTGTCTAAGATTTATCGAAATTTCAACAGAAATGAAAATCGGAAATGCAGTATAATGTTCCACTTTGTGATTCCCTTGCGGCCTTTTTGTATGCTCGAAATCAAAAGAAATACCAATTTAATTAAGCACCTTTTGACATTCTTAATTGCACACTATAAGACTCTTACATGAATATTAATTTTTACATCCGGGTACCAAACGCAGCTTTCACCACCCCCTGACCTTTTTTAGCTGCCATACGGGGGCCCCCATTGTTACACAAATGTTATGTTCTTACGCTCTTTTCTAGGTTTGCCTTTCAAAACTTCCGAAAGAAGCAGTTTCTTACAGTGTCGAAAATGTAACATGAGTAACTGCGAATTTACTGACTGTTTCGAGAGACTCTACTCTGTACTTCCTAGTTTATCAATATTTTCATATAATATCTTTAATACATTTTAGGGACAGATGGTATAAACAAATATTATGCCTGAAAAGGTATATAGTTTTACCTATTTTGTTTATGGATGATGCAAATAATACATTTTCATAGTATTGAATTTTAAATGTCCAATATAATTCTCAAAATTCAATCTTTCTACAGTCATCCTTATTAATCTTTTAATTGTTGTCACGTTAAATTCGAGTACTCTGAAACTTTTTTATGTAAAATGTTTAGCCTATATTTGCAGGTAAAGTTTTAATTTCACTCCCTTGAACATGACTTCAGCTATTATTTTCACAATTTTGACATATGTTTGTGTGTGCCATCCGTCCTGAATTAAATGGAAAATGGACTAAGTCTTTTTAAAAAAAATTAAATTAAGTACTGCATTTGTCCATATATATGATCTGATGTAGCATTAACTAATGTGATAGTGATACATGAAGGTATAACGTTTAACTGATCATGACTGGGCTTAAGTTAAACTAAAAATACCACTATTCGACATTATTAACCGTACAACTATCTGATATAGGTAGAGACAGTGCTTTATTTTCATCTATTTATTTTAGGAAGGAGAAATCACTATAGATGAAAACGATATCATTAACAGGGAAAATGAGGGTAAGGTAACATAGGATATTAAGTGATACACGATGACACTGTTTATATTTATCAAAAATTTGCTGAGTGATGCTATTTTAGGTAGTAAAAAATACCAAGACGAGCGTTAAAATGCGATTAAATATTCTCTATAAAAATGAAAAAACAATAAGATTGGTTCTCATTGATTAATATTTGTAATTTAAGGTGGGTCGCAGAACTCGCATATATTTCTCGTGGGCGAATGAGAATTTCTTTACATTTTTGTAACGTTTTAATAAAATAGTCTTTATAGAATTATAAAGTTATATACATGTATGTGATTATGTGAATATCAGTGAAGAGAGAGAGAGAGAGAGAGAGAGAGAGAGAGAGAGAGAGAGAGAGAGAGAGTCCATGTGCAGAAAGAATAACCTGATAACCTGATAAAGTTTGATTCTCAAAAAGTGTTTTAATAACCTGTTTACATTTCAGATTCAGATCCACCCCTTACGGTTATTCTATTATCAGTGTTAGTCCTCATCATACTTGGATGTTTGGTTCTTGCGACTACTTGTTGGAAAATGTTCGTTATTATTATCATAATTAAATTACCGTAAAGCTGGATATTTTTGCTGTAGATAATTTTTAGCAAATTTGCGAGTGCATTGCATTCGCAAAAATATTTTTCTTAAAAAAAAAATTACCAATAAGCAAATGTAAACAAAGCAGTGGTCATTCGCAAAATTTTTAAACGTAAAAATTAATCAACAGCATTTTGACCCGAATTCGCAAAATAAAATCGGCGTAAAAATTTACAGAATTACGGTATTATTATAATTATTATGAATAATTTATGTTTTATGAATAAGTAAGTTAAAGTTCAAAATATAGATTTGCTAACATGTATTTGTATAAAAAAACAAATTCTGTATCACATATCCCTTTTTATGTACATATATAGAAAGACGAAAGAGAGGAAAAATGCCAATAAAAGAAAAATTGACAGTCCACAGGAAGAGCGATATCAAGATATAGATGATGAGAAACTTGTAAACGCAACTAATAATATAAATAAGACAGAAAATTATGAAGGAACCTACACAGAAACCATAAATGGAACATACGATCACCTCAGGAGTAAAGATGCACGAAAAAAGGAAAGTGAAAACGATTACGATCATGTCGAATCTTCAAAAGAGGAGCAATACGAGGGATGTTCAATAAAAGGAAATAATCAACTTACAGAAGCTGACTATGACCATGCTTGCTTGTCATCTGATTATGGAAAGTGTGTCATAACTGCAGATCTAATGGATGATGAATATACAGAAGCTCTGTTCCCTGTCGGAGGCCTATCATAAAAAATAGAAATGCAAATTCCTTACAAGAATGAAAACAAAAGAAATAAAATTTATTTTTTACAAAAAGTTGTTTATTTATGCATATATTCAAGGGCTTTCAAAGTAACTCTTTTCAAAATGTTAGCTAATCGGCACATCATTTCAACATTAAATGGCAGAAAGTTATTAAAAACTGGTTATACACTTCAGGTGTGTGAATCGTTCACTACCCTCTTGATCAGTAGGACGACGACGGACTTTTCCGTTATTTCCTGATTGACAAGGAGCACACGGCGGGTGTGACCGGTCGGCAGGGGATGCTCTCTTCTCCATGGCACCTGATCCCACCTCTGATGTTTCGGGGGTCCGTGTTTGCTCTGCTTTTATTTTGTATTGTTTAATGGACTTTGAGATTGAATACTATTTGTTATCTCCATATCCTTCTTACCTGAAACCTATCACAGGTTGATTGTATTTTGATTGTATATTGTTTAAGGTCCCGCTCGAGAAATTTCACTTATATGGAGACGCAATCACTTGGCGGTGGAGAGCTGCAAATTTTTTCATATACTCGGCACTCAGGGCCATTCAGCGGGGAGGGATCTTTATCGTGAAAGCACCTACTGCGACACGGGACCTCGGTTTATAGGGTCTAATTCGACAGACCGGTCTCCACGTCCCACAGTAGGATTCGAACCTGCGATGTAAGGATTGTCTCCTTACTTCGCGACTCTAGAACATTAGCTTTAACCACTGCGCCATGTGGACAACGAAACCTATCACAGATCTATTGAAATAAAAAAAAACCGCTAAGAATAAACTTTTGTAAATTTTTACCCCCTCCCCGTCTTCATTCCTTCATATCTTTTTTATATCGTACTACATTCTCAAGTGTTTAAACCTCCAAAAGTTACTAGAGCATGCTGTTGTTACATATTTGCATATAGAAAAATTTCATTTAACGCTTTTGCGGTCCAACTGATGGCAAGGCAAAATAGAGTCTATTAGATTTTTTTAAACAAAGTGTGTTTATATTTCGCTTTAATCATGAACTGCGCAAGTATATACAATTAAGCTGCAATACTCTCATTATTGATAAATGCAGTTTCTCTGTACATGTACCGTTAAGAAAATTTTTAAAAAGATGATACTTTAGTTTGATTTCCTGGTCCCCGGTACACTGCATCAATATCACTGAATAGATACGTTTATTTCAAAAATAAAAGTATAAAGATATAAAGCTAATCAGCTAATTATATTTAAATAGAAACATTACCCAAGTAGGTGTAATTTACAAAATGTTAAATACTTTACAACGAGGGGGTTGTTACAGTATCTTCTCGTATGATCTGTGGCCCAACATTTAGTACATGTGAGTTTCCTCTGGGATTTAGGCTGACGGTAATTGAATATCTGACAGCGCAGGCCTACACAGTAGTAGATATTGGGTAGGTACCTTTCCTCGGGTAAATTAAAGGTTCTATGTACATAAACGGATTACCCTTTAGTACACTTGTTATCCTATTTGATACCGGATGACGAATTTTCTCATAGAGAATATTAGGCTTAACTTCAAGTTTTTCCTGTAATTCATTGACAGCTGAGTCGCCTACTGATAGGGGAATACCGCAAAATCTGATTTTCAAAGTTTTTTTTCGGTGGTACTATGGGTACCTGAGGAGTAGGGATTGGTATCAAAGACAGAAACAGAAATTTTTTGAATGTGTATTCCCTCTGTTAAAACCTTTTCTCTACTGGCACTATCACTGAGGTAAACTCTCCATAAATTCAGATCAAGTTGTAGACAGTGTGAGGAATTTTCAAACACTTTCATGATGATTCCTCTGTCCGGTGAGAGTGTTCAACAAGTGTTCACAAAGATATCAGATAAAAAAGAAAAGAAATCCATAAAAAAAAAGAATATAATATCCAAATCCAAATGAAAAGAACATACATACACAGACCAAATGTTAATGATTTAGGAAATAGTTTACATATACTCTTTTTCAGGTAAGTTTAGAGAAGTTTTAGATACCAATGTAACTTTGAAAATTTAAAATACTCATTGATAACTTTGAATTAGTTATGGAGATTTTTAAGCAAAAAAAAGAATATTGATTAAAACTTATAAAATAGGTTTCTGAATGTCTGCTTCATTTATCTTATTTTGCAGGTTTAGTTTTCAACAAAAAAAATTAAGTAAAATACCAAGGAAGTTTAATTTCAAACAAAGACATTTTATTGAATGCTACAATAAAATGCACATCGTACAAAACGGTAATGAATACATCAGGATATTACGTTGTATTTATTTCCTTCAACAAAATAAAAGGAATATAATACTTAGCTGAGTGATAGTAGACAATGAAATATAGACAAATGAAAATACCTTGAAGTATTGTAATTTGTTGAAAAATAATTAAACTTAAACCTCTAATCTTGATAAATTTTAAGGACTATTTTTACTAAGGGTACTAAGCATCAAATTCCATCTGAAGGATTTATAAACGGAAGTTATAAAAAGAAATGCAGAATCAGGAAGATGTAAACTACATTTTTGTCAGAACTAAGCATCAACATGAAGATTTATTTAAACAATAAAATGCCGGACTACCAACAAAAGAGAGGCATTTTATTGTTTACATTTATATCTTTTTAAAAAATCATTTAAGGTAGGATTGAAAAGATTAATTTTTGTATTAATGGTGCAAACGTCGATATAATTTTTAAAAAGATATTGATTCCTTTCTTTATAATATTATTTTCATTTCATAATACCAACAAACAGTGAAATATATATATCAGACAAATTACATTACAAACATAAGACAGTGTGACAAAATTACCTTACAATTGAAACATGTTTTCCGAAAAACTAGTATTTTATGCAAAATTTTTAAAAAGTCTAAAGTCTACTAGAGTTTTTGAATGTTTGATAATGGAGGCATAGAAAAAAATTGAAGATTTATCATGATTCGAAATGTTAAAGCTGGTTTCATCCAAGGAATGTAGTCGATGCAAACGTCAAAATACGATTCATTGATTGAACAGCCACTGATCAAAAAATCTGTACAGGTGAAATGCCTAGTATATTTCATGCAATGATTAACACAATGGATGTTCTTACGAAATAAAGGAGGAAATATTCAGTGGATGTAAAGATTTAGACATGAAACGTGTAATACTTCTATATACCCACGCTGCTTTTAAAAATGTTCCAAAGACATGAAAAAGGTAAGGTTATATCTACCCTTCTGATGCTATTCTATGATTTACCCTCGAGTGCCTAGCAGTCGTGCTCTTATGAAAGTATGAAAGTATCAGCGCTAAGTACATTTTAAATGAAAATTATGGTTATTTCATCTGATATTTTAACTTATGGTGCAATTGTATAATTTTCTTGTTATCAAAAATATTTCTAAACGCTTTATCAAATAAGATATCGGGGTAGAAAACAAGTGAAGTTTACGACGGTCATATTTGTTTGGGACAAGTAGTCTTGTGCTTGAATGAAGCAGCAAATATTGGGCCAAGAAAAATAAAAACAAAATAAAAACAAATTTCACGTGACTAAGATGATACTGTAAATGTATTATATTTAGCGTGTACGATATTTGGCGGAAATCGACTTTTGAATAAGTTAGCGTAGATTTGATTTGGCGCATTTCTTCATATTCTTATTTATGTGAATATGTGCAAGACATTTAGCTATGTACTTGATTTAGCGGTTACTGCTATCCGCCAAAGCCGCTAAAAAGAGCACAAAGCCAAACGAATACGTTTACAGTATTCTTCAAGACCGATATGGAGATAACGAACAATATTCAATCTCGAAGTCCATAAAACAATACAAAATAAGAGCAGAGCAAACACGGACCTCCGAAACAATAGAGGTGGGATCAGGTGCCATGGAGCAGTGAGCATCTCCTGCCGACAGGTCACACCCGCCGTGTGCTTCTTGTCATGATCAGGAAATAACGGAAAAATCCGTCGTCAATTCGGTGAATTCAAAATGGACTAACAATTGGTATGAAAAAACGTCAGTCAATATTTGACTCAATAATAAATTGTATTTGCTGATAAGGTCATTGTATTGACCATAGAACTTACGAAATGATTACTTTAAACGAAACTTTTGATATTCTTGTTTCATCAACCTGCTTGTCAATAATTTTCCAAATTTAAAAAATAGTTCATACATAGAGGACTCTTTCGTATCGAATCAACTGAGATATTTATACTCCGTATGCAGGTGATGATGGTATATTGCTGCATAAGAAGTGAAGTTGACAAAAGAAAAGTTAAAGTCATCACGTTTATCATATAGCTTGGTTGTAAGATTACCATTAGAGTCTTTTTCAAGTAAAATGTCCAAGTATGAAACAGAAATTTCAGACTCTGTAGTATCTTTTATCTCAGGCTCATCAGGATATATCGTATCGACGTAGGATTAGAAATTACCACTGTTATTTGACAATATGTCGTCGATATATCTGAATGTCGAGTTGAAGGCCACAGCAAGTGTTTTTTTTCTTTCACGCATAAGATTTTGCATAAATTCTGCTTCATATGAATATAAAAATAAGTCTGCTCATACTGGAGCGAAATTGGTACCCATGGGAATTCAATTAGATTGTTGGAATACCTGGTTTCCAAAAACCACATAGATATTTTAAATCAGAAACTCAAGCATCTTCTTGTTGTCAACTTCAGACTACTTATGTGTGCAATCAGAATCTGTTTTAACAAAATAATTTGTAAATTATCAATGACGAGGTAGATAAATTTTCGGGCTCCATTTTTATTGACGAAGCAGCTGTCAATGATATAAGAAGAACCTGGATTTTAATTTGTTGTTGGGAATTGTTGTGTATAAAGTTTAAACGTCGTAAGTTTTTAAGCTGTTGATTTTTCTAAATCTTGTGATTTCAGATTATCCAAAAGTTCTTTAGAATTCTGAAGTATCCAAATCTTATTCACACCACTTTTTGAATATATAGATGCACAGAACATTTACTGAAACCCGCAATGTATCTTTGTTTGTGAGAATTCTTATGAAGTTAAGTATTCAATATAAATAAGGTAGTTCAAATTCATTTTGGCTCTGTGGAATATTACAAATATTAAAAACTGATACATGATTTTGAAGAATTTCTTCCTAAGAAAGGGACGAATTAGTATAAATAGGATTACCACCTGTATAATTAAATCCAAGTTCTTCTAGAATGCAATTTACTACTACATAATAAGCCTTACAAATGAAGACAATGTTGTTACCTACATTGTCGGTAGGATCAATTCAATCATTTAGAATATATTTGATTAAATTAGGTTTACGGTTGTTTTTCTAAAATAAGTTTTCATCACTCTTTATTTACAAGTATTCCTGCGTAATCAATTTAAGGACTAAATCATTTTTATAAAGTCATATTTCAAAATTCTTCACAAATGGAAAAATACCGGTACCCAGTGGCCATCACGTATGATTATGCTAAATAGCCATGTGGTCGCCGTGTCCCTAGGTGGCGCTTCTGTGCAGGGAGAATATTTATTTTGAAGCTTTAAAAATTGTCTTGGCAAAATGGAGGCTATGTTTATTTGAATAATTAATAAATGTTTCCTCCGCATATTTAACTTTTTGATTAAGAGTAAGATTTTTCTTCTCTCTTCTTTGAAAATCATTTTTTATGACGCGATACCATAGCAGGTGACCAACTTTTGACAACAAACAAAATGGTGTACGACTACTGGGCATGCTCGGCTATAGGGCCCTTTCTTTGAGCTAAATTGAAGGTAAGAAATATCAGCGATATATATAAATACGAGAAAGGATGTGTGCATTTTAATGTTTAGGGGATTGTCTGAATTATAATAATATATTTTCTGTTCTTAAGAATCTTCAATCAATGCAATAAATTCTGAATCACATCGTTGGAAACCCACAGTTGTTCCCGTTTCAGGTAAGCGAAGGGAATCTTACATGGGTTTCCGTCCATGACTGAATCATTTTTCTGATATAAATTAGGAAGGAAATAACTTCTGCATTCCTTCCTTATGATTGACCTGAACAAATAATTCTCTTTCAATATGAAGTAAATGATTATATTTTTATATCTTAGTTTGAGGAAGATATACATAAAATGACAAAGCCTAAGTCAGTGTCACAAATACTGTTGTCCACTTGGCTTTTGATACACAATGGTTTGTATTTCATTTTATTTTTCTATTCTTGCTGAAATCGTTAATTTTACTTATGCTGATGTAAGTATGATATGAAAGGGAAAACGTTCTCTATCGTCAGCAATTTGGTTTATTCTTAGACATTTTTAAATACATGAAACCTCTGATTTTGAATGTTAGATGACGTGAAGTTCAATGAAATCCTCAGAATTTTTGCTTGCCTGTAGATATCATTTACTTATTTAATTTTGCTTTTATTGTAGTCTCTCTTTGGTTGATTTCCAAACAGGAACTCATATTATTTCTCAATAACCTGAATTGGTATAAGGATACACCCTCTTGACAACCAGCTGAATCATCTGTATCCATGCAATCCCCTCATTTCAAGTCCTTAGGATTCATGAAAATTTCAAGATTTAATAAATGTTCCTTTAACTTCAACAGTAACTCGATCTTACCTCATGTAAACAAACATCATGGCTGCTAGATCTGTGTATCAGTTATTACCTCCCCTTGTTTCACATCACTTCCGTTACTAAGGATTCATTATTTGAACTCATAAAAACCAGCACAATTTTACACACACATTTGATTAATTCTTTTATTATTAAATTATAAGGGATGACTCAATCCTTAAATACACATTTCCGATATTTGAAATAAAATGTCTATAAACTGAACCTGAAATGTCCCAAAAAGATTTTTTTTTCATAAGAAAATGTTTATCATTAGTGTAGAAATTTGTATCACAAGTGTTATCAGGTTTTAGTTACCCAAAATAACTTTCTCGAAGTGAGTTTAGCTTTATTTCCAATCTTTCATCAGCTAATATTATCTATATATAAATCGTCAATGATAAATTTGAAAAAAAATGCATTAAAAAGTTCTTAAAATTTGACAAAAACAGTTCTGGTTTATAGACATAAGATTTTTTGCTGCAATCTATGTGGATTTTTAATTAGAAAACTTCATTTGTAGGCCTTTATATCTTTTATGACTTACTTTTTTTTAATTTATGGACGGATACACTGTACATGTGTATATGTACAAACTTCATTAGATACAGTTATATCTATAGTTTCCTGAAATCTCATACAAGTTTTAACATGTTTGACCAATATATATATATATATATATATATATATATATATATATATATATATATATATATATATATATATATATATATATATATATATATATATATATATATATATATATATATATATATATATATATATATATATATATATATATATTAAAAGACACAATCTCACCTATTCTTTTTAAGAACAATGAGATTTTATGAATGCATTTTTATTTGCAGGTGATTTCTCTAGTTCGACTCTCATTACGTCATTGAATTGGTTTGAAGCTCAGGTCCAATGTCACAAACATAATGATACATTACCCATCAATACCTCATTTACTTCACCAGTAATGGAATTCTGGTCTGGCTTCTACCATAGACAGATATTCTGGATCAAGATTCTAGGTGATGTTGTATTTGTGAATTCATAGAGAGAGAGAGTAAGAAAGAGAAATTTATGGTTGCAAGAAAGCGATTTTTCATTCATCCCTAGCAAAAAATACTACAGTTAACTATAGTTCTTTATAGTTAACTATAGCTAACCGTAGTTATAACTTTGACACTTTGAAAAACCTTTGCAAAAAATTTGACACTTTGAAAAACTTTGGCGAAAACTTTGGCGAAAACTTTGACACTTTGATAATCTTTATTGAAAACGTTCACACTTTGAAAAACTTTGGCGAAAAATTTGACTCTTTGATTTACTATAGTAAACTCTAGTTAACTATAGTAAACTATAGTTTTTTTTTTGTTACGGATTACATTTGACTTTTAGGCTGTTACGATTCACGGAATATGCAGGGCAATCCAGAATTCCAGATGATTTTTTCGTCCGTCGGATTTTGTCATGAAATATGTACATCTGTAAATTCTACAATTTTCGGAATTAAGGTATTTTGAATTGTATATCACTATGAATTAATGTAAATTCCGCGATTGAAATAAAATAAAGCATTAATGATGC